TCTTAAAGCTACATTCTAGTTTTACTCAGGTCCTGACGAACAGAAATTGTCCCAGTGTTCTAACCATACAAACGTGAAAAGAAGTACACCTCATTTTTGATTAGTTCTGTTAGAAATCTTTTCTTTTTCTTGCCCTAAATTAATCTTCCTTTACTGTTTTAGTACTTAGATTTCTTAAATTTGAATCGTTTTTGTGCGGCGTTAAACTTAGCATTGCTGAGCCCAGTAACATTAGCATAAACGAATATATCTATGCTGATTTTGATGCTTTCTTGACAAGATTTTACCTTCGTCAAGTTAAATGTTATGTCGTTTTGCCAAATTCTTGAACCCTTGCAAAATTCACGTTATTTTAGTTAAATTTTGTGCCTCTTAATTTTCACCTTCCTGCTTCTTGTTCTCCCCGATTTTACGCCTAGATAAATCCTGCAATGTCCATATTTTTGAAGATTCTAATTTTATTTGTACATATAATGTATCATACAGAGTGCTATGGGTAAGCAAGCGATGGGTGTTTACACGACAAATTATCATGTTCGAATGGATACACTTGCACACGTATTGTATTATCCGCAAAAACCTCTTGTCACAACGCGTTCGATGGAGTACCTCAGGTGATCAGTTATTATTTTAGATGATTTGCACCTAAAATTTTCGTGCCTGTCGCTTGAGCAGCAATGCTCTGTCTTTCGAGGGTTGCTTGGAAGCAAGCTGACGTGTGAAGCAGATTGCGGATTTGCGAAAGTTTTAAAATGAGCTTTTTTACAGATTTAACGAGCTCCCAGCCGGAATTAATGCCATTGTTGCTATTCTGTCTTACACTGGTTATAATCAAGAAGATTCAATTATAATGAATCAATCCGGAATTGATAGAGGCCTGTTCAGATCGGTGAGTTAACTGTGCTTGTTTTTCTTGTTTTTCAGTCAGTTTTTGTTACAAATATATATTTTGTAGTAAAATAATGAATGTTTAGGCGGGCAAGCCGTTATCGTAGTTTTTCTAAGCTCTAGCATGAGTGAGGGGTGCGCAATTTCTGCTTTGAAGGCTTTATATGATTTTAACTGCTAAAAATGAAGTCTTAATTTATTTGCAGGTCTTTTATCGTTCATATCGTGATCAGGAAGCAAATCTGGATAATCCTAACGAGGAATTGATTGAAAAACCAACAAGGTGATTTGTGATTCTTACTCAGAAAATTGTTTTTTTTGGTCTCTGTGCTGGGATTTTGTTGCCAAAATAGGTTTTTCTATTTCCAAAAGTGCATGTGGCTTTATTTTCTGTGTGTTGCCAGGGACAAATGCTCTGGTATGCGTCATTCATTGTATGATAAACTGGAAGATGATGGCATAATTTCGCCTGGAATGCGCGTTTCGGGCGATGATGTGATTATTGGGAAAACCATCTCGTTACCGGATGATGTGAGTTATCATCATTTCACATTTTCATATTTCGTCTTTTCCGAACTGGGCTATTTTTTTAATGTGAAACATA